AAGGTGTCCACCCTTTCCACTTAATCTCTTCTTTCTTCCTAGCAATTATGGCTTCTCAACATCCTCTTCCTTGCCCTAAATCAACCATTTGCCTCTGCAGGTCCCTCTGAAGCATCACTTGCCCCTTCTAGCTCTCAGCAGTGACCCACACATTGACAAGCGGAGCGGAGAGACTCTTCACATGTTGATGGGAGATCAGGATGGTGTTCACAACTTTCTAGAGTCTCCTTAGCACCAGACAGACAACAACACTCTGCAACAACATCCTTTTTGAGATCCCAGATCCTGAGCGTACCACCTCTTTCAAGACACTTACTTGCATGCAGACACGACACTGGCAATGGCCTTTAACAGCTCCTCCTGCAATGAGTAAAACAGATACCACTGAGAAATGCTACAGACAAGTGGCACAGTGCTGCCGCAAGGGGAAAGTTTGTAGTTTGCTGCAAGAGGTAGTGGGGAGATACGCCTATGACACCAGCCTAGAGAAGCAATGTCTGGCTCTTGCCACTCCTGCTGTAGAGGCTGCAGAGGACTTGGCCTTCCATTTGCACTGAACTGGCAGTGGAAAAGGGCCTTGCAATGCCTCTGAGCACAAGCTAGTAGCCCTCAAGGCTAGAATATGGTGCAGTGGAAGTAGTTTAAGTGGGAACCCAACTCCTAAAACAATCTAAACTTCACCTACTGATCTTCCCTGGCATTGTAGAGTTCCTACACATGTGGGTCTGCAGCACAGAACATTGCATTTCCTGGCTCAAGGGCCGCATGCTGGTGCTCACGATTCACGAGGTGCCAGTTCCTTTTTTACCTTCCCAGTCCAGGTTCTCCCTGGCAGGCCTTGCAGCAGTGCAGAGAGCACTATTCCCAGATGCGGCGGTACAAGGGAGCCTGTCTGTTTGGCAATTGATGCCATGGCAGCTGCGCCCTGGGCTTTCATCTTCCAGGACTGGGACTGCAGAGCCTTCTGCGTAATGGTTATCAACTCTGGCATATACAGTCTGATGCCACCCTGAGTACCTGCAGATCAAACAGAGGAAAATTTTAATTTTGCCACAAACCAAACAAAAATCTGATCTTATTTAAAAAAAAAAGAAAAAAGCAGTTACAGATTTATCTTTTTTTTTAACCATGAAACATAACAGCAAGGTCTACTTCAGGCAAAGGGGTGAAGAATTCCTCCCAGGCTGATTGAAGATGTGTTCTGTTTCCTAGGTGCTTCCAAACAAAATCTTTAGCATATATCTAGACAAAGAGCTCATCTCAGTCCTTCCATACAGCAGATACTAGACACTGTGTTAACCTGTTTCTAAGGAATATAATTATTTTTTTTTTTTGCAAGAACAGGTCACTCTAGAAAAGTAATCTGGTGACTGAGGGACCAGATCTGAAATCAGGTCAGAGAGAGAACAAGCAAAGCCATTTCACTATGCATCCAGATCTTCTGTACAGACAGATAACATGGCAAAATAGCCCTTCTATAGCATAGATTCATTCACTGAAGTTAAAACCACAGGCATCAGCAAAGAGATCTCCAACCTGAGACACAGGCCAAAGTCCCCTGTAACTTCAGAGTGTGCAGCAGTCCTCCATCTACCTGTGCCACAACCAGGGCCGTCTTACAGTGGCATTCAGTGCCTCACAATCTTAAAATACTTCTCCTGACCACATCTGTGTATCCTCAGCGATCAACACTTCTGTAATTATTTTAAATAGCCACAGAGAAGCTAACCTGCTGAAATTCATACAGGACATCTTTAGCAAGGAAGAAAACGGGAACAAGCTTTGCAAATCTCTTACCACGAGAACTCTGTATTTCCAAAATAGATTTCCAGAAAGCGTGGAATTTCTTGCCCTATGCTTCCCAGAAAGCTTTTAACACTCTTAACGCAACTTACCAGGTACATTTTCCTGCCATACTTCAGTCCACAAAGTAGAATTCTCTTTCTCTCCTTTCTCTTCATCGGGAACCTCATGCATGCCAAGAAAAGCCAATGGCAGCACATGTTTGGCATGGCTCTTCACTACGTCTGGGCTGTAGCGACCCATAGCATGCACAGTTAAAGCACAGCCTATTCTGTAAACTGGCTCTGAAGGAGGAAAAAAAAAAAACAACACACATTATGACTGGGAAGCAAGATTTTCCTTTGCAGCTTGGTCTGCCTCTTGGGAAACAGAGCAATGCACACTATTGTATAATGATGCATGGGAATTATTTAGCCAGTGAAACCATGCATCACAATACAGAAATGTTTCTTTACCAGCTGTCGCTATCACCAGGAACTTTTTCTGCACAGTATTCTGTAACTGAACCCCCCAAAAGCAACATACCTTCCTTCTCCATGTACCAACTGCTGAGTTTGTGCAGCAGCTTCTCAGTGCTACTGTCTCGGGAAGTCTGTAACAAGTAAGAGATTCATATCACTCAAACACTTAAAAAAACCCAACAAGCCAACAAAAAGGCAAAACAAAACCTAAAACCATCTCAAACCCCAACTCACCCGGACTAGATGCCCCATAGCAAAGGCAAAAGACTTCTGTATCACGCTGTTGCGATCAGTCAGGCCACTAAGTAAAGCACTCATAAGTTTGCCTGTAGGAAGAGACTTAGCTTTATCAGAAGTGTTATGTTTTCACTGCTGTGGCAAGAATTATAATAGACTGCATTTCATCAGATTGTCTGAATTTATGCATTTCTCCTCATTGCCTGTTTGTGGGGTTATAGGTCTGTCTGGTTCTTATGTAGAAACAAATGCACAGCATAACACAGCAAGGCTCAGCAGAAGCTAGCGTTGTGCCAGCCTCAGCCTGCACACCTTGACTGATAATGCTTCTCCTGGACATGAGCAGCCCAGGTGCTGATGCTTTCAGCATTTATTTCTATTTTGCAACAGAAAAGTGACCTTTCTACTATCAAATCACAATAAATTGTAAAAAGAAGACTAAGACCCAAGGAAGCAAAGTCCCTGTTTATGGTCCTCCCATAGCTTAAGTTGAAGGAACAAGTGCTTATTGACAGTGCCACACTAACACAGGCATTGTCAGTCTGCTCCAGGAAAGTCTAGAGATATTTCTGCCTCTTTCTGCTGGGTGCTAGCAAATTTCCCCAACATCCTCAGTCTCTTCCAGCTTTGTGGGGTATTTAACATCCCCAGGACCTACTCCCAGCATGCCAGTCTCATATGCACCAGCCAACTTCAAACAGCTCTCTGAGGAAAATACACACATAAAGATCATTCTTGTGATAAAATCAAGGGCAAATAGGGAGGAAATACTACCTACAGAACAGCAACAAAAAGCACCTTTAAAACCTGACAAACAAACCTTACCTGAATAAGGTGTTAAGTCCTGAGGACACTGTGTGGTTAACGACACAATCACGCTGGCACAGCCTCCCTGGAAGATTGCAAGGGAAAATAAAGGTAAGATAAAACAATATTAGCCCCTGGTTATTACTGTTAATACTTGCTGCGGTGCTATATGCACTTGTATGACATGATCTAGGCCCACCAAGCCTCTGCCCTGATAAGCCAGGAGCCAAGGGCAGAAGCAGAAAAACGGTTTGTAACAAATGAGTGACAAGAATTGAATTAGAAAGCGAAAAAGTTACCAGGACCCACACTCAGGATAGATGGTCCTGGAAGATTTACAGCTATCAAGGACAACCTTCTGCACTCAAGTGTCATAGAGCACAACACCCATGCAGTCCAGGGGAGGTTAACGCAGCACACATTCAGAAAATTACAAGTAATGTGGGTGGATTGAGACTCAGATGTAAAACGACTCCAGTCTGAATGAGCCCAAGCCATCACTTTAAAAGAGACAGTCAAAAGAACCGTATTTTATTTGACACTGCTCTGTGTTCCCTTCTCCATTTCCAAACGAACTATTAAAATTCCAGACATACCTTTGTGCCAAGGCCTACTCCACTTTTGATCAGTTCACACAGCCGAGGAACCAGCTCACCCAGGACGGACACATCCAAATACTGCAAGCTCTAGAGAAAGGCAAGGGGAAGGGAGCGGGGCAGGAGGTGGAAAAGGTAATGGTGGCAGACTTAAACTGGTCTACCTCCAGCTGAGGCCTGCTTCAGTTCTGCAGGCTTGTCTTCAGCTGAATCATGAGAGTTTGCTGCATGGTGTGAAAAAGGCGCCACAAAGTTGTTTCCACCATATACAGATTCTCTTGTCCTGCTTCTATCCTGAGCTGACCCTGCCAAAATTATAATTTGCTGGAACTGATGCACTCCTGCACTGTTTAGAAAGCTGGAAGTAACACATGAGCAAGAACTTCTTTTGGGGAAGGAGAGAGATGCAAGGTGTGCATATCTTAGGACAAAACCCAACATTTCTCCAACTGCCTGAAACCCTGAAGCAGTAACATATCCAAACTAGACAATAAACTGAAACTAGTCAAGACAGTTTTTAAACAGCTCAAGACAAACAAGTGATATAAACGATATAAAGGTACAAGAGGGATGTTATTGGTATCATTTTGGTTCTCCTATGCCTAAAATACTACTGGGCCAAACAGAAGGCTTCAGGTTACCAGCACTCTGTGTAGCACACTGTCTGCGGAGAGGAGATCCATCCTCTAGCAAATTCAAGGATCACCTACGAACTTAAGGTAACTCTCTCTGAGCTTCAGAAGTCAGATCTGCTGTCACTTCCCCCTCCTGCACCAGTATGATTAAGGGAATAATCCATTATGTCATATAATCTCCCAGCCAGTCCAAGAATATAGAAGCATAGAGAGAAGGTTGCTCATAAGGCAGTATACCTTCATAGTACTCCAGGGAAGCCATATTACCTCTTCCCTCCCCTAGGAAACGGCAAGCATTGATCAGGATAGCACAACTGTCCCATCAGAGCTGGCAGGGGTGAGGCATGGCCTGAAGGAAGGACAACAGCAGCTGCTGCAGCCTGCAGTGAGTACGCTTGTACATGGAGCCTTTCAATTCCAGCCGCTTTACACACTATTTAAAGAGTGCTCCACCTGACACCAAAACACAGCTCCAAATGCTGTTATGTACAGAAGGGCTTGCTGCTGTTACTTCTCCATAAGTGCAGGAAACAAAGAATAGCTCTGGTGCCTATGCTTCTCCTAAAACTCGCCCAGCGTTCACACCTCTGCCTGCTTGCATGCCCCTTGCTGTGTGCACTGCCTGAGCAGTCTTTTCTTTGGGGAGGCACAGGCTCTCAAGACGGCAGGGAGCTCTGCCACGACAGACCCTACAGCACAGTGTCTGGGCATCAGCAACTCCTCCTCCAGCAGTAGGAAACTGTGGTGCCAAACACCAGCTGCTGACAGTGCTTTTAGTAATACCAGCATTTTTGCTAAATATCTCCACCATCAAAGCACTGGCAAGGCCCAGGTAAGGACATCTAAGGTACCACGAGTCAAGGGTTGGACAGCATTTCTGCGTTAAGAACGACGACTATCATCAGTCACAGGCCCAGGTGAGAAGTTGATTGTGGAATTGTGAGCCAGAGATGAAGAGAAATGGCAGCTAGCATAATCCAGAACCAGCTGAGTCCCCATCCAAAGAAAAGCCCTTGAAAGATGCCCTCTTCAGGCAGGTCTCCAGATGGAGAAACGATCTGTTTTGACTCTAAATGGACACACAGTTATTCACAACTGATCTGAGGAGCAAGCTGTGCTGACAGAAGTCACTACATGAAAAAGAAGGTGGATAGACATCCACATGGAGATGTGATAATAAAGTGAACCCTGAAGAGATATTCTGTAAAGCTCCCACTTCAATTCCTATTCTTCTCCTACAACATACCTTACACTGGAACCCTTCTGAATCAAGTACTTACCATGTTAATAGTTTCCATCATAGGAGACGACTTGACTGCACTAAGTCTGGCACTATCCATTGCAGTCTGAAGAAAAAAAAGAAAAAAAAAAAAAAGAAAAAAACAAAGCCAAGTGTAAACTCAGCATGGAAACAGTGGAAAGGACAACATCAGCTATAACTCACTATCACAAACTCAAACCAAAATCCATTTCAGATGCATACAGACAGAAAGTAATTACGTCTACAGATTATGAATGTGTCTCTTTCAGAGGCAGATGGATGTACTAGCTGCAGTACAGGAGTTAAATCACGCACTCCTGACATCA